TGCCAACCACAATGGCGTAGTCAATTTCGGGTTCCGTGGCCGATAAGGCCCTCAATTAAATTTCCAAAACAGACTACTCAAACAGATATTCCTACGATGAACAGATAAAATTTCAAACCACATATTTTCACATAGTGGAACACAAAATCATATCAAAATACATAATCACATCATGTTAAGGACCAATTAACATACTACGGAACAGGGGTGTCACAGGGGGAGAGTGAGCAAGGTGAACACAATGAGGGAGAGACAGACAGATAGACAGACAAATAGACAGGCAGACAAAGAGAGAAAGAGAGAGAGAAGAGTGATGAGTGAAAAAGAGAGACAGACAGACAGACAGAGATAGACAGACAGAGACAGACAGAAAAATAGAGAGAAACAAGAGATGAGCAAGAGATAGACAAAAAGATAGAGAAAGAGAGCTAAAAGAGATGAACGAGAGAGAGACATAGAAAAAGAAAGAGATAGAGAGAGAAGAGAGATGAGTGAGAAGAGAAAGAAGAGAGATAAGTAAGAGAGATAGAGAGATAGAGATAGAAAGATGAGCGAGAGATACAGAGAGAGAAAAGAGATGAGAGAGATACAGAGATGAGCGAGAAAGAGAAGACAAATGAGAGAGATGGAGAGAAGAGAGATGAGCGAAAGACACACATACACACAGAGAAAGAAGAGTGATGAGTGAAAGAGAGAAAGAGAAGAGACAGAGACAGAGAGACTAGAAGATGAAAAAATTGGTGAAGAGATAAATGTTATATTAAAAGGGTAGACGTCGTTTTTTTAAAAAAAATTTGCGACAAAAAAATACCGTTGTATTTATTCAAACCATTTTGTGACTGTATATTTATGAAGCTGTCTCAAAGACACAATATTTTATTTTATTTTACTTTTTTTTTTTTTTTATTAATGGTGCATCCTAAATATTAAAAACTCCTTCCTTTTTTTTTTTTTTTTGCAACGGCAGTTGGTGCCGTCGCAAATACTATCCTTTTTTTGTGACAGTAATTTCTGCAGTCACAAATACTCTCATTTTTCATGACAGCATTTTCTGCCGTCGCAAATACTCTATTTTTTTGCAACATTAAATAATGTCGTCGCAAAAACTCCCTTTTTTCGCGACGGCAAGTTGTGCCGTCGCAAAAACTCACTTTTTTTGCGATGATAAGTTGTGCCGTCTCAAATGCTTCCATCTTTTAAGCCCACTTTTCTTGTAGTGAGAGCTTAGGCACAACTATGACAAATCAAGGGAAAGAAAATTGAGTGGAGAAAAAAATGAAGAAAAGTTGAGAAAAAAATTTAGGAGACAAATTAATTAGTAGAATAAAATAAAATCACGTCATAGATAATTTTTTTCAGCATATTTTTTATTAAAATTTAATTAAATTATATATATATATATATATATGTCTATAAGTGTCTATTGATATTTTAAAAGTATATTATTTGTATATTATTATTTGTATTATTTTTAATGAAGATACTATGACTAAAAATAAATATAAAATAGAGATAGGTGATCAATTGCAATTGTCACTTAGGGATGACACTTCAAAATTAATTGAGAGAGTTGAGAGTTCAGAGAGAATAAGAGTTTGAGAGACAGATTTGTTTGTGAGAAATAAAATGTGAGAAGGGTGGTATTTATAGGACTTAGGAGGGAGGGGTTAATTTATATATATATATATATATAAATAAATAAAAAATAAAGTTGGTTGTTGGTGGAATTAACGGTTATATGACTCTTTCAAATTGTTTTGTTTTAAATTTTTGACCATTGCACTAACAGGGGGGGCAGGGAGCCGTTGGGGTCGGGTTGAGCTAGATAGGGAAGAAAATTTCGGGCCGAGCTCACGGGATGGGTCACACTCTATAACACACCAGGGTCGGGCCAGGCCAGGCTTTAGAACACATAAACTAGGGTCTTAGGTTGGGCTTAGGCTCGAGCCTGGTTGGGCCTACCCAGGGCGCGAGCAGACTTAAGGTGTGCCGCGAGCTCGTGGGCCAAATTTACACCTCTATATGTGGGTAGTGGTTATGAGATATATGATTAGTGGTTATGATATATGTGATATTGATTATGAAACAAAGGGTGTTGGTTATAAGATGTGGTTATAACATATGTGGGTAAAAGTAATGAGATATATGATTAGTGATTATGAGATATATGATTCTGGTTATGAGTAGAGTGGTATAGTTATAAGTCAAAGGGTGTTTGGTTATGAGATATGTGATTAGTAGTTATGAGATATGTAATGTTGGTTATGATCAAGGTGGTGTCATTATGAGATATGTGATTAGTAGTTATGATATTTGTGATGTTGGTTATGAGATATGTGGGTAATGGTTATGAGTAAAGTGGTGTCAAAGAGTGTGTGGTTATGCTATATGTGTTAGTGCTTATGAGGTATGTGGGTAATGGTTATAAACAAAGTAGTGTCAAAGGATGTTTGGTTATGCTATATGTGTTTGTGGCTACGAGATATGTGGGTAATGGTTATGAGCAAAGTGGTGTCAAAGGGTGTTTGGTTATGCTATATGTGTTAGTGGTTATGAGATATGTGGGTAATAGTTATGAGCAAAGTGGTGTCAAAGGGTGTTTGGTTATGCTATATGTATTAATGGTTATGAGTTATGAGATATTGGTTATGAGATATTGGTTATGTGACTAGTAGTTATGAGATATATGATATTGGTTATTAGATATGTGACTAGTGGTTATGAGATATGTGATGTTGGTTATGACTAAAAAAGGCTGGTTATGAGATATAGTTATGATTCATGTGGGTCATAGTTATGAGATATGTGATCAATGGTTATGAGATATGTGATGTTGGTTATAATCAAAGTGGAGTGGTTATGAGCAAAAAGATGTTAATTATGAGATATGTGACTAGTGGTTATGAAATATGTGATGTTGGTTATGAGCGAAGTGGTGTCAAAGGGTGTTTAGTTATGCTATATGTGTTAGTGGTTATGAGATATGTGGGTAATGGTTATAAGCAAAGTGGTGTCAAGGGGTGTTTGGTTATGCTATATGTATTAATGGTTATGAGCAAAGTGGTGTCAAAGGGTGTTTGGTTATGCTATATGTATTAATGGTTATGAGTTATGAGATATTGGTTATGTAACTAGTAGTTATGAGATATATGATATTGGTTATTAGATATGTGACTAGTGGTTATGAGATATGTGATGTTGGTTATGACTAAAAGAGGCTGGTTATGAGATATAGTTATGATTCATGTGGGTCGTAGTTATGAGATATGTGATCAATGGTTATGAGATATGTGATGTTGGTTATAATCAAAGTGGTGTGGTTATGAGCAAAAAGATGTTAATTATGAGATATGTGACTAGTGGTTATGAGATATGTGATGTTGGTTATGATCAAAGTGGTGTGGTTATGAGCAAAAAGATGTTAATTATGAGATATGTGACTAGTGGTTATGAAATATGTGATGTTGGTTATAACAAAAAAGTGTTGGTTATGAGATATGTGACTAGAGGTTATAAGATATGTGATGTTGGTTATGACTCAAAGGGGTTGGTTATGAGATGTGGTTATGATTTATGTGGGTAGTAGTTATGAGATATGTGATCAATGGTTATAAGATATGCGATATTTGTTATGATCAAAGTGGTGTTGGTTATGAGATATGTGATTATGATTATGAAATATGTGATATTAGTTATGAACAAAATGATGTTGGTTATGAGATGTGGTTATGAAATATGTGATATTAGTTATGAACAAAATGGTGTTGGTTATGAGATGTGGTTATAACCAAGTTATGATCAATTTGATTATAGTTACGAAGAAATATGATTTTGGTTCATAACTATAAAAAGTGACCTGGTTAGCAGGTCACTTTTAATCAATCTTAGCCATTGATTTTCTATGTACCGTACATTTTTTGAACAAAATGTACTATAGACTTTCCTTAGCGTTTATTTTCATCATAACCAATTAATTATGTACAATTGGGGCGGTAGTGGAGTGGAAATGTGTCTTCTTTCCACACAAGTGAGCAGAGCTCGATTGTTAAGGGATGCCATTAGCAATCCGTTTTCAAACTGTGAAACTGATTGCACTGTACTCTGATTGTAACTCTGTCTCTTGTGTTGAGGGGTTGATGCATTTCTCTCTTACCATGTTGGTGGGTGGGTCCCTTCCTTTGAGTTGAAGTAAGTCTGACCGATACATCAACGCTTAGGGATTGTAATGATGGATTGGTGAGCTCCTTCCTTTGGGTTTGAGTAAGTCTGACCTATACACCAACGCTTGGGGATTGCAATGATACCCACCAATGAGCACCTCTTTTTTTCTCTTAAAAAAAAAATAATAATAATAATAATAATAATTAGTGTGTTTGGTTTGAGTTTTTTGAAAATTTAATTTTTTGTTTTTCGTATTTTTTTTTATTTTTAGTAAATATTTTTAAAATTTTAAGCATTTTTTTTTGCTTTTTTAAATGTATCTTATTTAGATGTGTCTAAAAAATAAAATATTTGTGAAAAAATATTTTAAAAAATTAATAAATACACAAAAATACGAAAAATGTATTGAATTTTCATAATTTGTTTTGTATTTTTGATATTTAATAAATTTTTTAACGATTTTTTTTTTACAAAAAAATATACTTTTTAAATATATTTATGTTAGGTGTGTTTAAAAATTAAAAAAATTCAGTAAAAATAAAAAAAATACGACAAAATAAAAAATTAGAATTTTTTGAAATCTCAAACTAAAACAAAGTGATATGAATGTTTGTCTTTCTAATTAGACAACAGCAATGCTAGGTATCATGAAAATTTTTTTATGAAAATGATCATGAAAAATTTATGACCCTTGAATTATACTTAAAATAAAATAACACACATTAATCAAGATAATTTAAAAATTATAAATTTTTCATGATTATTTTCATGAAAGTTTTTTTCATAATCGCTAACTTTTCTCGTTAGACAAACATGGCCGTAGTTGTATGCATGAACTACAGTTGCAACTTGCAAGTGTGGAACAATGAAAGGAACGAGACTTTCGAAGTAGCAGATGACTCCCCAAACTTCATTTTCTCTCTCATGTCGAAAACCCTTCTCTCCCGCATCAAACCTCGACACAACCCCAAACCCAGTTCTTCCCCTTACTTCCCCTGCAAACCCCACATCAAGCGACTCGTCAACGAACTCTGTGACATCCTCAAAACCCACCACCACAATCAATGGCAAGACACCCTCGAAACCCGCCTCTCCGAAGAAGAAATCGTCCCATCTGACATTGCCCATTTGGTGCTCGACCGTATTCGCGACCCCGAATTGGGTTTGAAGTTCTTTGATTGGGTCACTCAACGCCCATACGGTTGTTCTCTTGATGGGTTTGCTCATTCTTCTCTTCTTAAGCTCTTGGCCAGCTCTAGAGTGTTTTCAGAGATTGAGACTGTGTTGGAGAGTATGAAAGTTGAAGACAAGTTACCGACTCGGGAAGCTTTGGATGCTGTAATTCGAGCATATTCGGATTCTGGGTTAGTCGATAAAGCCCTTGAAATTTATACTACTGTGCTTAGTACTTCTAATTCTGTTCCAAGTGTGCTTGCTTGCAATTCTTTGCTTAATGCGCTTGTAAAAGAGGGTCGAATTGAAATTGCACGCCGGGTATATGATGAAATGTTTGAAAGAGTTGAGGATGGTTATCTAGATAATTATAGTACTTGTATAGTGGTGAGAGGTTTGTGTAAGGAAGGGAAGGTTGAGGAAGGTAGAAAATTGATTGAGGATAGGTGGGGAGAGAGTTGTATACCTAATATTATCTTTTACAATACTCTCATTGATGGGTATTGCAGGAAAGGCAATATCGAAAGGGCTTATGGGCTTTTTAAGGAGTTGAAATTGAAGGGTTTTTTGCCTGCGGTTGAGACTTACGGTGCAATGATCAATGGGTTTTGCAAACAGCAGAATTTTGAGGTAATCGATAGGCTTTTGATGGAAATGAATGCAAGGGGTGTAAGTGTTAATGTTCAAGTGTATAATAATGTTATTGATGCTCGATACAGGCATGGTTGTGCGGTGATGGCGATTGAGACTACAAAAAAGATGATTGATAGTGGTTGTGAGCCAGATATTGTGACATATAATATTTTGATTTATGGTTCATGTACGGAAGGGAAGGTTCGGGAAGCTGAACAACTTCTAGAGCAGGCGACAAGAAGGGGATTGATGCCCAATAAATTCAGTTATACTCCTCTCATACATGTCTATTGCAGACAAGGGGAATTCGTTAGGGCTTCAGAAATGCTAATCAAGATGACAGAAAGAGGAGATAACCCTGATGTGATGACTTACGGAGCTCTTGTCCATGGGCTTGTTGCTGCAGGTGAAGTAGATGTTGCATTGGCATTTCGTGAAAAAATGGTGGAAAGAGGAGTAATGCCTGATGCTGGTATTTACAATGTTTTGATGAATGGATTTTGTAAGAAAGGGAGGCTTCCTGTCGCTAAACAGCTACTTTCTGAGATGCTTGATCAAAACGTGATGCCCGATGCATTTGTTTATGCCACTCTAGTAGATGGGCTCATTAGAAATGGTGACCTTGATGAGGCTAAAAAACTCTTTGAGCTCACAATTGAAAAGGGTATGGATCCAGGTGTTGTGGGGTACAATACCATGATTAAGGGCTATTGCAAATTTGGAATGATGAAGGATGCAGTGTTGTGCATCGATAGAATGATAAAAAGGCATATTTCTCCTGATGAATTTACTTATTCTACAATCATAGATGGATATGTAAAGCAGCTTGACTTGGAAGGTGCACTAAGTATGTTTAGCCAAATGGTGAAACGAAAATGCAAACCAAATGTTGTTACATACACCTCTGTGATCAACGGATTCTGCCGCAAGGGAGACTCCCATGGAGCTCAAAATGTTTTCATAGAGATGCAATCTCGTGGTTTAGTTCCTAATGTTGTCACGTACAGTGTACTAATAGGAAGCTTTTGTAAGGTGGGTAAACTTGCAAAAGCTGCCTCTTTCTTCGAACAAATGTTGATGAACAAGTGCATTCCCAATGATGTTACATTCCATTATCTGGTAAATGGATTCTCGAATAATGGACATTGTATGAACTATAAGAAGGGAAATGAACCTTGTGAACACGAGTCATCTATGTTTTTGAACGTTTTTGGAATGATGATATCGGATGGATGGGTTCCAACAATTGCTGCATACAGTTCTATCCTTGTTTGCCTTTGCCTACATGGAATGCTCAAAACCGCTTTGCAGTTGAGTGATAAGATGGTTAGTAAAGGTTGCGTTTCAGATTCTGTTACTTTTGCTGCTCTACTACATGGTGTTTGCCTGGAGGGACGATCAAAGGAATGGAAGAGCATTATATCCTGCAATTTAAATGAACAGGAGCTACTTATTGCTGTAAAATATTCAGTGATACTAGACCAATACCTACCTAAAGGAGTGATGTCAGAGGCTTCACAAATTTTGCAGACCTTGGTTGAAGAATATAGGTCTCATAACAAAGAAATAAAAGGTTTCGGTAAGTTAAGGTAAAGGGGAAACACTGAAGACCTGACCTGTCATCTTCTAGGAACAAGAGAATTCTACGTCACCTGACAACTGATTGGCATCTTATAATGGGCTGCCGTGACAAATCAGTTTCTGCACTATTATAAGAATTTGGGATTCTTGTTATAGAGTTGTAAGTGAACCCATCAGAAATACTTCAGAATTCTCTATTTGCTGGCCATTTGTCGTTGTAAATTTTCATCATAATCCTGTGGAAAAATTAATGGTCGGTGAGATTATTCTACATATGTTCTTACTTGACCAATTGGCAGAAACTGGTCATGGTTATGGATTGATATAGAGTTATTGTCTTAATGCAGGATGTTCAACACCATTCAGAGGAAATTAAAATTGTACACCTACATATCCATGTTAGCTGTAAGTTTGAATGTAATGAAGCGATAAAGGCGTCTCAAATATGCCAAACCAGAAGTGCTTTGCTGAAGAGGTTATACAATACAGTAAACATTGTTCCTCAATATTTTTTTTTTCTTATCTTATTTACCCAAAAAAAGAAGAAGGGTAAATTACACTGACACCCCTAATATTTATGTTTATTACAGTTCTCTCCTCACTTTTTGGAAATTACACCTCCCTTCCTGAGATTTAAAGTTTCATTACAGATTCTCTCCTCAGCAGTTTAATTTTTTTAAATACTAATTTTGCCCTCACTAAGTAAATTATATCGACACTTCTTACATTTTAGAAATTACAATCTCCTCCATAAGCTTTAAAATAGCATTACCAATTGTCCACTCGGTTAGTATTAGTTGGAAAAAAAATTCATTCAAAAAAAAAAATTAATTGGAAAAAAATTATTTGCAAAAAAAAAATTAATTGAAAAAAAATTGTTAGTAAAATTTTTAAATTTTTGTTTAAAAATCAACATAAACTCGTTTTTTGAATTTACGCTTTTTTTCTCAAATTTACAAACTGAGACAATCATTTATAAACTAAAAAGTTTATCAAATAAGTTTTTATGACAGTTTTTTAAATTTTTGTAAATATAAATTGAAAACTGAAAATGAAATGACTACCAAACAGGCTTCAGATGAAAAAAATGTCGTAAAATTAACAAATAATTAAATAAGTTACCAACTTAAGAAATAACTTATCAAAAGATTCTTAGGTTATGTATGGTTTGATTTTTAGAATTTTTTTTAAAAAAATTAAAAATTAATTTGGTTAAGAAATAAAAAATAAAAAATAAAAATAATTTTTATATAATTTTAACTTTCGAGTGGTTAGAAATAGTTTTTTACAAATTAAATTGAAACAATTATACGTATGTATATAACTTGCCCAAAAATTAAAATGATAATTGTTTTTTACCCTTAAATGATAATTATTTTTTATTTTTATTTTTTAACCAAATTAATTTTTAATTTTTAAAATTTTTTTCTAAAAATCAAATCATACATAGCATAAGAATCTTTTGATAAGTTATTTCTTACGTTGGTAACTTATTTAATTATTTGTTAATTTTACGATATGTTTACCATCTGAAGCCTGTCTGGTAACCGTTTTGTTTTCAGTTTTCAATTTATATTTACAACAATTTAAAAAACTATCATAAAAACTTGTTTAATAATTTTTTTGGTTTATAAATTGTTGTCTCAGTTTGTAAATTTGAGAAAACAATGTAAATTTAAAAAATGAGTTTACGTTGGTTTTTAAATAGAAATTTAAAAATTTTACTAACAAATTTTTTTTTTCAAATAATTTTTTTTTTTCAACTAATATTAACCGAGGGGGCAATTTGTAATACTACTTTAAACTTTAGGGAGGGAATTGTAATTTTTAAAATGTGAGGGGTGTTCATGTAATTTACCCAGTGAGGGCAAAATTAGTATTTAAAAAAATTAAAATGCTGAGAGAGGAATCTGTAATGAAACTTTAAACTTCAGAAAAAGAGATATAATTTTCAAAAAGTAAAAGAAGAATGGTAATAAATATAACCCTCATATCAGTGTAACTTACCCAAAAAAAAAATAAAATAAAAAAAATACAAATGTTTGTTTTATACTGCAGTGCAAGGGCTGTTAACGAGGCGAAATTGCTTTTCATTGTTATCATGGGACAGTAGAAAAATTCTTTCAAGTGTGCCAGAATGTAAGTGTACTTGTCTGCCTAGTGACTTGAATCTATATATTTTACTTGATCACTTGATATACATCAAGTAAAATTATTCAAATGAGTATATAAGTGATACACTACAAGAAAAAATATATTTGGCGGTTAAATTTTTAGTCGCTAAAAGTAAATTTTTAGTCTTTAAAAGTCGAGTTTTAAATTTTTTCGACTAAATTTTTTAGTCGCCGGCTTGGTCGTTGGAAAACTGTCGCGAAAGGTATTGGCGACCAACAAACTTTTAGTCGCCCAAAAACCAAGTCTGTAGCGACTAAAATTTTCGTCGCCAAAGCTCATTTATATTTTTTAAATTATAGATTTGGCGACTAAATTTTTAGTTGCCAATTTTTTTTTTTAAAAAAAAATTACCCTCTGCTTTTCTCAAATTTTGAACCACTAACCTTCCACATTCTAAACCTCTACCAGCACACTCTCTCTACTATGCCACAATAACACCACATGAATATATATGCAAAATATATTATTTATATAGTATATTGACCCGTATTAATATTAAACTATATATATAAACACAATTATTTTTATTCAATATAATTTATGTAAAAAATAAATTATTTATTTAAAAAAAAAGGAGCCACTTTTGGCGACTAAATTTTTTTTAGTCGCCAAAAACCTTAGTTTTGGCTACTATCAATAATTTAGTCGCTAAAAAATTAATTTCCGCCTAAAATTAACCACTTTCGGCAACTAAATTGATTTTTAGTCGCCAAAGCCGCCACTTTTGCCGACTAAACTCAATTTTAGTCGCCAATTGTTCACTTTTAGCTACTAAATTTTTTTTAGTAGCCAAAAACCTTTACTTTTGGCTACAAATTTTTTTTTTGTCGGTAAAACACCTACAATCGGCGACCAAACCATTTTTTAGTCGCCAAAACCTATGCTTTTGGCTACTAATTTCTTTTAGTCACCAAAAACCTTCACTTTTGGCTACTAAATTTGTTTTAGTCTCTAAAACCCATATAATCAGCGACTAAACTGATTTTTAGTCGCCAATAAGTATAGCCAAAATTCTTCACTTTTGGCTACTAATTCAATTTTAGTCGCCAATTGTCCTACTTTCAGCGACGAAATTTACATTTTGGTCGCTAAAACTGCTTTTTGTTGTAGTGATATTTTCTTCTATCTGCAACTTTCTTTGAAATTAAAGATCTTGCATATGTAAACCGGAGGAAAACGAAAGAAAACAAGAAAAAAAAATGCTAGCACCTTAGGCACGTCTTAAATCCTTGTTTCAAAGTCCCACATGTCTAAACAATTCCTCCCCCACTGCCTGATTTCTATGAGATTGGACATGTTTGTTTTCTTAAACTTTAAGAACTCAGACAACGTGTTAGATTTGAGTTCCACTTGCAGACATCAACAATCTTGGTGCTTTTGAGGTTCATAGGCAACAGATGTTGACCAAAGACACTGGTGTATGGCAGCATGTGGAGCTTCAGCTCAGCCCACCATCAACTTCTTGTCATATGCCAGTTTGTCTGGTGATGACAAGCTCAGATTGATTTAATCAGTTGGTACTCGTGTTTTTCTTATGGGCCATGATTAAGACTCCCTCGAACTCTCCACCCCTATCACCCCCCTCCCCCCACACACACGCGGGGGTTGGTGATAGAGAGAGAAGAAAAAAAAATAAAAAAAAAAAAATTTGACCAATCAAAAGCAAAGGGGGTCGTGAGGGTGACTCTCAAAGGGGGTCCAGATCTTTATTGTTTTCTTATATGCTTATTCTAACTTGTCTATGTTTGTGAATCAAGCAATTATGTACTTCCCATATGGCAGTAGATCACCTACATTATGAACCTCCCAGATAATACTATAGCGATTCCGGATTTTAGCCCGGCTTTTATGGTGTTCCGAACTCGAGTCTTGGGGTTTAATGTTGTTGTTTATGCCTTTTCCCTCCTCTTACTCTTTGAATTTGAGTTTTGAAATGTCTTGAGCGTGTTTAGAACATGTTGGTTGCTAGTTGGTTTAGAACCTTGTTGCCCAAAATTTTGGCCTTCCGCTCGAGCGGGCTTTCTTGCGCTTGAGTGGGTTTTGCAAACCTTCAGTACTTTGCACGTCTGCAAAAATGCTGGAGAAGTGTTTTTAACGCTCAAGTGGCGTTTCTTACACTCGAGCGGGTCTAAGCTCAAGCGGCCTTTCTTGCGCTTTAGCGACTGTTTGAAGTCTGTAAAATTCTGAAAGTATGTATTCTACGCTTGAGTGGGTCTTATTGCGCTCGAGCGGGTAGTGCCTTCTTGTGTCTTGGCGTTCGAGCGGACGAATTTTTGTGTTTGATGCTCGAGCGTCAAATTCTCTGCTCGAGTGGACTGCGCGTATATCAGATCACGAAAGTGATATTTTAAATCACTTTTTCGACTCTCTTTCTTTCTCAAACTTTCCAAAAACTTAAATCCACACCCTCTCTCTCTAAAATACTCCCCCTCTCTACTTTTTGGCCTCGATCAAGTAATCTCTATACCCTTGTGCCTTAATTTAAAAGGTAGAGCATCTTGTTGGCTTCCATTCCATCCGAGTCAAGCTTGGTTTTGTGCATCTTTGAGGATCTCCATCTTCTCCTTTGCTCTCCTAACTTTGAGGTAGGGATATTCTACTCTTTAATATGAGTTTTAATTTAGGTAATTGTCATTTTGTATAAATGGTGGGATTTTGGGAAGATTTGAGTGAAGTTATGGCTTGGGTTTGAATTTTGAAAGATGGGTTTTCTATTTTTGGTCCCATATGTGTATGTGAGGTCTTGAACATAGTATTACTTGAGCATAATTGGTGAAAATGGGTCATGGAGTTAATATTTGGAAAATGGAAAGATTTGCCTAGTGTGAGTTAAATAAGTTATTTGTATAAATAATGAAATTGATATGAGGAATATGGAATTGAGAGGATGTATAAATGAAATGTGTAATTGGATTTGATAAATCACTCACCTGTGGAAAATATGATAAATTATCTGTTTGATATATTGTATATCTGTTTAGAGATATCTGTTTTGGGCTATCGGTGGAGGATAGCCATGATTGTTGTAGAAACTGCATGAGGATTAGGTAAATTAAAACTAATCATGCGAATTATGTCATTGAATATGATGGTTTGATTAAATTGTTGAATATGAGAATGTGGTAGTCATTGTATATGACATGTTCTTAAATACATTGTATATGTATCATTGTTTGAGAGAAGATAAGGGATGGACTCCATTGTTTGGGAGGAGATAGGGAACGGACTCCATTGAAAATTAAGTTGGCCGGAGTGTCTAGGGTGAAAGTCCCGAAATCTTATATATATAAATATGGATGCCGATTCCCTTGGA